AAGGAAAGAAAGAAAGAAAAAGAAAAGAAGAGAAAGAAAGAAGAAAGGAAAGAAGGAAGGAAGAAAGAAAGAAAGAAGTAGATGGCAGCCCTATAGGAATTGTCTTTTTTTTTTTTCTTCTTTTAGCAAAAGCAACTGCCTGTTATTATTAAAACATCTCCTAACTGGCCAGGCCATGCAAGCATTAAAATCCATGCGCTTCAGTTGTTAAATGCCACACAGACAGATGATCTCAGGCTGAACCTGTCTTTTTTGATGTGGGGGATTGGGGAGGGCTGAGTCACCCAGGGAAAAACAGGGAAATAAAACAGGCCGTGAGTTTAAAAACCACAAAAGCAGTTGATCTGTTTGGAGAGAGAGCGATGCATTCTGTCCCGGAGTCAGACTGGAAAATGAACGAACTCCGGATCATCGGAGAGGAAAACATCCACAAAGCAAGTAATTGTTGCATGCCGAAAGAGACATCTAGGGTTTTAAAACTGGCACTTGCCCCGCTGAGCCAAAACAACGCCTCTAATGAGGACATCCCTCTCAGCGCTGCACAAAAAAACACACATACACAACTAATCTTGGGTTTCTTTTTCCAGCAGACAAATATCTTGAAGACCTCTCCTTGTTGGCTTTTCTCGTATCGACGGAGACCTGGTGGGTTTGCACCGATGGATCACAAATCCCTTTGCTGGATCAGGGTAAAACTTTGGACCAGTATCTGTTTAAAACGGGTGGACTTCAATTCCCAGAATTCCCCATCCAGCCATAGCTGGGGAATTCTGGGAGTTGAACTCCACCCGTCTTAAATTTCCAGGTGGAAATATACTGTGTTAGAACCACAACTTGTTCCCACCAATCTAGACAGCCATTCGTAGGGGATATTGCCACCCCGTATTGCTCCTTTAAAAGGACCGTGCTTTCAAAAATAGAAATCGAGTTGAATCTCCTTTGTTGAATTCATGCCATTGGAAAATCAGAATATTCAGGAAGCCGATGCCAGTATGGATAGGATCTGAATCATTGCTTTGAAGTTCCAAAGAGGAAGGCTAGATTGGAAAAAATCTAACCGGATTCTGACAAATCAACATTTTCAATTTTCCAAATTATCTGAATGCAACCCACTGATTCCACTCGTGGGATTTCCTTGCATGGATTTATCCAATCTCACAGATGCAACATGGAGTTCGTCCCCAAGCTGCTTTTTCAAGAGGCAACTGGATTTTCTTGTTTTTTTTTCTTTGAAGATGTTTCACCTCTCATTCCAGAAGCTTCTTCAGCTCTGACTGGACGGTGGGGAATGGGAAGGATTTATATTCCTTGCAGGCAGCTGGTCATTTGCATCCTTTTAGAGTGTCGTTGAGGCCACTTGGAGGTTTATCTGTGTCCTCAGGGCCATCTGAATGGTGCAAATTAATGGGAGCGTTCTTGGAACGGTTGAAAGGATCGTGTTGTAGACTGGAGATAGATGAGGTCGTAGATTGATAGAGGATATTGTAGATTGGAGATAGATGATGTCAATAAGATGATGTTGCAGCACTCAGGTGAGCCTGCTGACACAGATATACCTCCCAGTGACCTTAATGACCTGCTAAAAGGATGCAAACGACCAGTTGCCTGCAAGGAGTATAAATCCATCCATCCTCCACCATCCAGTCAGAGCTGAAGAAGCTTCTTGGATGAGAAGCAAAACATCTTCAAAGGAAAAAACAACAATCAGAAAGTCCAGTTGCCTCTCGAAAAAGCACCTTTGGGACAACCTGGATGACGGAGAATCTCCATAGACATGGAGTTGTGTAACCCCAGGAGATAACTCTTCAGGAGATCTTTCATGAGTCCCTCACAAACCATATGAGTTGGTGGTTCTTCCTTAGACGTGTGGTAGGGGACTCCATCCACCACCCAGCGGTCGTTCCTTTTATTGGCCTCAGATCACATGCTGAGAAATTTCAAATCAACGACCGGATGAAGCAAATCCAGCTTATTCATAAAGTTCTAGCTATCTACAGTTTCAGCTGTATAGAAAGTCAGGCTCTTAAGATCTCAGTTATAGCAGTTGCCAGAAAACCATGCACAGATACAGGTTGGGATGTCCTGAAAAGTTGGGTGGCTTTGGGAGAACCCAGAAATGCAAACTCTCCCCAGAAATGGGGAGGATTTTGTTCTCTGTCTGTATACCCATCCTAAAAACTAAAACATTGTAGACAAAAATAAAACAAAACAAAAAAGTCGTATAAACTCACAAAGCTAAGGCAACAGAGTTACCCACCCCAGATCGGATGTTAAAATGCGAAAAGTCCACCCTTTTTGTTTCATGCAAAAATGTTCAAGTTCACGTCGCTTTATTTCATGCAAAGATCCACCACGTTTCTAGCCCTCACTGAGGTGTTGGTGAAAACTTTTGAAAACACTGGCAGTAGCCACGGGACCCCCTCCCTTTTATGATAAAGTGGTGCTTTCCTTTTTTTAAAATATGTCGTTACGAAAGTTTACCATTTTGTTGTTGCCATCGGCTGGGGGAAGCTGATGACTTTCCGGGCCTGATTTTTCACCCCTCCCTCCCCAAAAAAATCACGCCGATTTCCTTGATCGCAAGTAAACTTTGAAAGTTTCTCCTTCCGGGATCCCATGGTGAGACTCAGACAACGGGATTCGCAACAAAGGTGAGTAAAAAAGTGAGTTTGCCAAATGCCACCGTTTCTGATGCAGGTGAAAGAAAAAAAGGGGGGTTGCTTGTAATTGTGTTCATAAAGGGGGAGGATGGCTGAGACCCCCCTATCTTATAGTTAAGCAGTAAACAATAGGGGTTTACGGCGGAGGCGGTTGCTTTCAAGAACCCTGTTGGTCCAACTCTCCCTGTCACTGGACGTGTTTGGAGGTTGGAGTTTGCCATCTTGGGATGCTCCCCGCAAAGTCCTTTCTCATCTCTACAGCAAGGAAGACACAGAAGGGTGTGACACCCTTGTAAACTGACACAGTGTGGCTCACAACTGAGGAAGATCCTGGTTGGGGGGGGCAGTCTTTACCACCCCCCCTTTAAAACACCCGTGTCCACCATCATCCCCACCTCCCATGGTTGGAAAGCTTCGACGACACCCAACCACACTGTCACAACATATATATAATTTTTTTTTTGTTTTTTTGCCATGGGTTTGGGTAGGGACTTGAATTGGGAAGCTGGCGCCCCTCGGTAACACAGACCACAAAACGACATTCTTCTCTCGGACAAAGAGAGAAACGAAACGAGACTGAAGGATAAAATCAGTTCGCATGGACTTGTCCCTCTGGCACAGACCTTTTCCCCATTTTTCCCCCGGGGATCTGGGACCGACACAAAGTAAGCGGATCTGAGCACAGACACCCCACCTCCCCGATTCTCCCAAATCACGAGAACCCAAGTAAGAGATATCAATTCTTCAAAACTGAGAGGACTTGGGCCACCAGCGTTCTCGTTTGGCCAAACGAAGGATCTGATTTACGGGGACCGATCATTCTGAATCAAGGAAACTCAAGAAACTGGTCCCAATTTGTCAGAATGAAAAGGATCCAGAGTCAGTTGGTCCAACTTGGTCTGAATTCTGGATCCAAATAATGGATGCTCCAAATCAAGAAAGGCTCGAGGAATTGGTCCTCATTTGTCCACATCAAGGAGGATCTGGATTTACTTTGCACCCTTTTTTCCCCACTGAATCAAGAAAATTCGTGAAACTAGTACCAATTGGTCTGAATGAAAAGGACCCAACCAAGTTAGTTACCACTTTGTCCAAATCTTGGATCCAAATAATTGATGCTCCCAATCAAGAAAGACTCATGTAATTGGTCCTCATTTCTCCAAATCAAGGAGGATCTGAGTTAAACTTTGACACCTTCTTTTTTCCGAATCAAGGGAATTCAGGTAACGAGTGCCAATTTGTCCGAAGGAAAAATGACCCAAATCACTGGTACCAATTCGTCCAGATCATTGGGCCCGAGTAATGGGCTCCCCTAATGATTCAGAATTAAGAGGATTTAAATAACTCGTACCAATTTGTCCAAACCAAGAATCCAAATCACTAAGATTAATTTTTTCACACCCTTGAATCAAGAGGACTGAAGTAACTAGCACCGATTTGTTTGAAGAAGATTTAAGGAATCAAGAAGACTTCAGAAACAGAGGCCATTCCTTTGTGCTCAGGAGCATCCAAGAAACAAAAAGATTCTTCGAACACCAAGGGAATTATTTGCGTCCCACAGAACCCTTGACCTTCTCAAATATATCTTACTTGGTTCCTCGGTTCAACCATCTCAAACCTTTTGATCCTTCATCCCATCCAAGATCTGATTTGCGGGAGAAATTTTAAACATTTCTCACTGGGAGGAAGGAGCCACATCGCACCTGTTTGGGGGTGGGTGGGTGTTATTCCCCCGAGTCGTGTATGCGAATCCCTCAATTTATTTATTTATGTATTTTTTGCACGAGCTGATTTTATCCTGGAGGCCGTAGCCCACAACGAGGACCCTCCTAAAGAACGCAGAGACAGACCCATTCAATCCCTCAAACGCAACCCCCAACCCTACCATCAAGACATGCCTACAACAGAAAGGGACAAGAACAGAGATTTCAAAAAAAGGGAGAGGGGGGGAAGAAGAGGGAAGGGAGAGATACCCCGCACCTCCAAACCAACAGCCCTGAAAACAAGCCAAAAGGAAGGAAGGAAGGAAATGGGAAGGAAGGAAGGAAATGGGAAGAAGGAAGGAAATGGGAAGAATGAATTAAGGAAGGAAATGGGAAGAAGGAAGGAAGGAAATGGGAAGAAGGAAGGAAGGAAATGGGAAGAAGGAAAGAAATTGGAAGAAGGAAGGAAGGAAGGAAATGGGAAGAAGGAAGGAAATGGGAAGAAGAAGGAAGGAAATGGGAAGAAGAAGGAAGGAAATGGGAAGAAGGAAGGAAATGGGAAGAAGGAAGGAAATGGGAAGGAGGGAAGCAGGAAGGAGGAAGGAAGTGGGAGGAAGAAAGGAAGGGAGGGAGGAAGGAAATGGGAGGGAGGGAGGGAGGGAAGCAGGAAGGGAGGAAGTGGGAGGAAGGAAGGAAGGAGAAAGGGAAGGAAGGTAGCATCATCACTCACTCTTCAGCTCTGTGTGTTTAGTGTGAGCTTGGCAGCCGCAGGTATGTAGATACAAGCAAGCAGGAAAAGCTGAGGGGGGTCTTTTGTTGGTTTCCAAGGATTCCCAATGTTCATATATTGGGGGGGGGGAGTTTCCCCCCCCTCCCATGTGGTTGCAATGTTTTATACAAGTTCAAGAAGCATCATGAGCCAGCGGATGTTTTTATGCCCCCTTCTTCCTCTCTCTTTCTCTCCTTCTCCATCTGTGGTTAATCTCGGCCCTGCCTTTCTACTGTCCTTCTGTTCTTTCCGTCCAAATTCCTTCCCGGGCACGAGAGAAATGCCATAGACATAGTGGGTGGGTGGGTTCCGTTGTCATCCGATGGTTGAGGTCGGGGGTCCAACTGGCCACTGCAACTTCTTCCTTTTTTCCCCTCCTCCTCCTCCTCCTCCTCCTCCTCTTCCTCCCCCCTGCTGCCCTGCCACCATGCCCCACCCTTCCCCTCTTAGATAAAATATTCCTTCTTGTCGTCCCCGCCTGGTTGACCTCCCTCTGCGTTGATAATGGCCGTGTCGGCATCTGGGGCGTCGTCGGAGCCTTTGGCCTCGTGGGTCAGGTAGGTACCTGTGTGGGGAGGGAGGGAAGGAGGGAGGGAGGAAGCGAGGGAAAGATGGGGATAGAGGAGAAAGGAAGGAAAATAGAAGGGAGGGAGGGAGGAAGAGGATGATAAGGAAGGAAGGTTAAAGGGAGAGAAGGAAGGATAGAGGAGAAAGGAAGGAAAATAAAAGCGGGGGAGAGGGAGAAAGATGATAAGGCAGGAAGGAAGGAAGGTTAAAGGGAGGGAAGGAAGGAAGGATGGGGATAGAGAAGAAAGAAGGAAAATTAAAGGGAGGGAGGAAGGAAGGAAGGTTAAAGGGAGGGCGAGAGGGAAGGAAGGATGGTGATAGAGAAGGAAGGAAGGAAAATAAAAGGGAGGAAGGGAGGAAGGTTAAGGGGAGGGAAGGAAGGATAGAGAAGAAAGGAAGGAAAATAAAAGGGAGGGAGGAAGATGATACAGAAGGAAGGAAGGAAGAAGAGAGAGAGGGAGGAAAGGAAGGAAGGGTGTTGATAGAGAAGAAAGGAAGGAAAATAAAAGGGAGGGAGGAAGGAAGATGATACGGGGGGAAAGGAAGAAAGGTAGGAAGGAAGGAGAAAGGGAGGGAAGGGAGGAAGAGTGGGGATAGAGAAGAAGGAAAATAAAAGGGAGAGAGGGAGAGAAGAAGGAAGGAAAGGGAGAGAGAGAGAGAGAGAGAAAGAGAGAAGGAAGTGAGGGAAGGAAGAAGACAAAGGAGAGTTATTTGGCTTAATTCCTAAGTAAAAAGGACACAAATTATTGCAGATCTATAGGCTGATAAAAAGGAGCAGCATTGGAAGCTCCAAGTTATTCCTACGTCTTTGGCCCAAATGTGGCCATAAGTGGAAGGACCGGCCATCCGTGTCTTTTTTTCCATTGCTACTGTAGCTTCGAACCATGGCTAAAGGAGCGGCCGTACGTTGAGGGACTAAGTTGTATGCCTCCAATCTGGGCAACCAGTCAACCGGGCTTCTGAAGGAACAGCTAAGGCCCAGGCCAGTGGAACTTCAAGACACATGAAGATGGGGCGAGAGGGACCGAAGGGACAGGACGGGGTGGGGGGGTGGGGCTGGCCCCTTACCTTTGTGCCGAATCAAGTAGTGTCCCAGAACGATGAGGAGGATGAGGAGGAAGAAGATGACAAAGGCTACGACACCCCCAACGATGGCGTGATAGCTGTCCCTCTGCGGTGTCATGGGACTAGCATCTATCCGGGTAGAAACAGGATGTGAGACTCAGTGGCCAAACCAAAGTGAAAATAGAAAATAGATGATAGAGTAGAGTAGAATAGAGTAGAGTAGAGTAGAGTAGAGTAGAGTAGAGTAGAGGGTAGAGGAGTGTAAAGTAGAATAGAGCAGAGTGGAATGGAATAGAATAGAACAGAACAGAATAATAGAACAGAACAGAACAGAAAGAATAATAGAATAGAACAGAAAAGAAAAGAATAACAGAACAGAACAGAACAGAACAGAACAGAACAGAAAGAATAATAGAATAGAACAGAACAGAACAGAATAACAGAACAGAACAGAAAGAATAATAGAACAGAACAGAAAAGAATAACAGAACAGAACAGAAAGAATAATGGAATAGAGCAGAACAGAATAATAGAACAGAACAAAACAGAACAGAAAGAATAATAGAATAGAACAGAACAGAAAAGAATAACAGAACAGAACAGCAAGAATAGAATAGAACAGAACAGAACAAAACAGAAAGAATAGAATAGAACATAACAGAAAAGAATAACAGAACAGAAAGAATAATAGAATAGAACAAAACAAAATAATAGAACAGAACAGGACAGAACAGAAAGAATAGAACAGAATAGAAAAGAAAATAATAGAACAGAACAGAAGAATTATGACCATTTTCAAGTTCTTGGCCAAGATGAAATGTAAATCAGCATTTTCTATATTCCTTTCCTGACTGTACAGAGCTAAAATAGCTTCTTGAGGATTTCAATTTAATTTCCTCTCAAGTTTCTGGGTGCCATAAAAGTTGCTAACCAGGACAAATATGGATGTGTCCTTCCTTCGTTGTATCCACCAGGACCGCCTGGTGGGCTAATCTTCATAACAAAATTAGGACCTTTATTAGATTGCTCTGGATTAATTTTTAATGACTCTGGTATTGTCTGAAGTTAATTTTTAATGGTGTGTATTGGGGTTAATGACCTTCCCAAGCTGGCTGGTTTTCGGCCTGTCCCTCTGTTGCAGGAAACGAGACTTTAGGCATTGGCCCTAAGTAAAAGAATTAGTCAAGGCTGACATTTCCCTCACACTTTTCATTTGCACAACCCTCCTTGGAGGTAGATGAAAAGAGCTGGCATAGGATTAGGAACTTTAGGATGAAGGATTAAGGGCTGCCCCAAAGAAGAGGGGATCAAATTATTCTCCAAAGCACCCGAAGGCAGGACAGGAAGCAACGGATAGAAACTCATCCAGGAGAGAAGCAAGCTGAAACTCAGGAGAAACTTCCTGACAGTGAGAACAATTAACCAGTGGAACAACTTGCCACCAGAAGTTGTGAATGCTCCATCACTGGAGGTTTTAAAGAAGAGATTGGATAGGCATTTGTCTGGAATGGTCTAGGGTTTCCTGCCTCAGCAGCGGGTTGGGCTAAAGGTGGCTCAGCGGCTAAGACGCTGAGCTTGTCGATCAGAAAGGTCGGCAGTTCGGCGGTTCGAATCCCTAGCGCCGTGTCATGGAATGAGCTCCCATTCCTTGTCCCAGCTTCTGCCAACCTAGGAGTTCGAAAGCACGTTAAAAAAAAAATGCAAGTAGAAAAATAGGGACCATTTTGGCGAGAAGGGAACAGCGTTCCATGCGCTTTCGGCGTTTAGTCCTGCCGGCCACATGACCACGGAGACGTCTTCAGACAACGCTGGCTCTTCGGCTTTGCAACGGAGATGAGCACCGCCCCCTAGAGCTGGAAAACGACTAGCATGGATGTGCGAGGGGAACCTTTACGTTTACTTTTTAGAGGGTTGGACTAGAAGACCTTCAAAGTCCCTTCCAATTCAGTTATGGCCATGCTAGTGCCATGACATCGAGTTGTGCCCAAGACGTACCTTCCCTTTAAACCAGGGGTGTCCAACCTTGGCAACTTTAAGACTTGTGGACTTCAATTCCCAGAATTCCTCAGCCAGCTTTAAACCCACCTGGCTTTTCCCAATTCTATCCTGCCAGGGAGCCAAGCAGAATTAGAAACTTTTTTTAAAAAAAAAGGAACAGAAGCTTTTTGATGTACACAAAATTTCCTTTTTGACCACTTCTGTTCTGGATATCTCTGCCACAGGGACAGCAATTCTGACAAAGAGTTGTTAAATCCAGATTCTAGTGATATCTGCGAGTGCCTCTAGATTTAATTTCAACCTTTGCTGACTTCATGAATTATCCAGGTAAACTTTTGACAGCAGTCATTTTCTAAATCTTTAATTCTGGGATGTATTTTCCAGTTTCCCAGTCTTGGCTATCTCCCATCAAAAAAAAATGTCCTTTCCAATCATGCATAACTTTTGTTAGACCAGTCAAGATCTATCAGATGTTCCACAAAGGGTTGGATTTATCAAACGGTGTTCCGCTTATAGTATTTTTAAACTTGAAGCCCAGAGAAACATCCTGGCAGAAGTTTTTAACAGATTAACAGAGTTGGAAGGGACCTTGTAGGTCATCTAGTCCAACCCCCTAACCCAAGCAGGAGATCCTACACCATTTCTGTCCAGTCTTGAAAGCCTCCAGGGATGAAGCTCCAACAACTTCCGAAGGCAACTTCTGTTCCATGGGTTGATTGTTCTCCCTGTCAGGAAATTCCTCCTTATTTCCAGGTTGAATCTCTCCTTGTCCAGCTTCCATTCATTATTCCTTGTCTGGTGCTTTGGAAAACAGCTTGACCATGAAGTCAACAAGACGTAAAATGGACTCAAAGGAGATATTTCAAGTTCCCCTTCTTTGATACATCAGCACCACGGACTGAGGTCTTGGCTAACTTTGGAGACTTAATTTGGCAGTCATCAAAGGCATAAACATAAGCAATCATCGTCTTCTGTTAATGATCCCATAATCCTTTGTGGGGTGGAGTCTGGGCCACTGAATGGAGCTGAGTGTTTCATGGCCGGATGCCCTTCCCATTGCCAACATGGAGTTTTGGCACCCGGCCATTAAACAGCAGATATAAACAGCAGATATATTCTCATCGTGCTCCGAGGGAGAAATATCTGCCTCTACCTAGGATCGAACTCACAACCTCCTGATTATGAGGGGAGAGCTTTCACCCCAGGCCACACTCAAGATGAGAGGCACCCCTCAAATAAGTAACATGCAGTGAGGTGTGAAATTGGCCCCAAAATTGTGGTGAATTTGGAAAGCCAAGTTTAAGAACAGTCCGGATTATTTTATTAACTGGATCGCTTTATTTCAAGAAGGTCTTTTAGGAAATTTGTCAGCCCTGCCCCAGCCAGGTCCTTAGGAAAGAGAGAGACCCCCGACTCCATTTGGTTAAAGTGATAGGTTCTCTTATTAAGGATTATGTCAACTCATAAAAATGGATCCTGAGGACCAATGAAAGTCAGCCAAAGAGTGTGACTTAAAACTCTGAAAATTACAATTCAGTACCAAGCATTTCTGAAACACAAATATCGGAGTCTTGGTCACTGGGCCAAGCCAACCAGCTTAGAATCCATGAAATAAAAACCCAAATGGGTTTTTGACTTCAGTCTGAGGAGAACTAGGTAGAAATTTAATCTCGGCCATGATGGAACTGGGTTCACACGCATTATTTCCTGGCAAAAAGTAACCCAATAGGGTTGTTGTAATGGGGAAAATGGGAGGAAGAGGCACAATGTCTATGGTCTTGAGTTCCGGGAAGAAAATCGGGATGCAAACTGAAGAAATGGACGAGGGGGGTTGGACTAGATGACCTATAAGGTCCGTTTCAATTCTGTTAATCAGTTCAATCAAGGAGAGAACCAATGTAGAACTTTCCTGACAATTAGAAAAATAAACCAGTGGAACGACTTGCCTCAAGAACTCGTGCTCCAACACTGGAGGTTTCTGAACAAGAGATTGGATAGTCATTTGGCCAGAATGGTGTAGGGCCGTGGGGCGAACCTATGGCACCTATGCCACAGGTGGCATGCGGAGCCATTTGTGCTGGCACGCAAGTTTGCAGGCAAACTTATCTCACTGCGCATGTGCGCACCTCACCGCTGATTTTTGGCTGGTTTGAGGCCTTTTCCGGCCTCCCAAAGGCTTGAGAGGAAGGCTTCTGCAGGTTTCTGCAGGACGAAAACTAGGCCTGTTTCATCACTTCCGGTATTTTTGGAAAAAACAGGAAGTGACAAAACAGAGCTAGTTTTCGGCCGACAAAGCTTGCAGAAGCCTGCAGAAACCTTCCTCAAGCACTTTGGGAGGCCGAAAAAGGCCTCAAACTGGCCCAAAATCAGCTGTGAGGCGCAGTGCAGGTAAAGGGCAGTGGGGGTGGTGGATGGGTGGGGGGGATGGTGCGCGCATGCGTAGGGGGCGTGGGGGGGGGGGGCGTGCATTGCCTTCTGGATGCTGGCATGCAAGCGCAAGCATGCAAGCGTGCCCGCAATTTTTGGCACAGGAGCCCATAAAGGTTAGCCACCACTGGCGTAGGGTTCTCCTGCTTGAGGAGGGGGTTGGACTAGAAGACCTCCAAGGCCCCTTCCAACAACTGCTACTCTGTTAGTAAGTCCACTTAGCAGAGGGCTTAGAAGACACGTCTTACCGCTGACGGAGAGGGTGTATCTTGCAATGGAGTTGCCCATAAGATTGGAAGCATAGCAAATATACGTCCCACTGTCGCTTTTGTTTAAGTTGGGGAAGGAGAGGATGTTGTCTTGAGCGTCCAACAAGGGGGTGTCGACACCGTCCTTCTCCCACTTGTAATCCTGGGGGCTGTAAAGGAAGGAAAGAAGAGAGACCTCAATGGGTCAACGGATCAAAGAGAATGGGAGGCTCTGTCCTCGCTTAACAACCGTTTTAGGGCCTGTAAAGCGGGACTCTCCAAGGACTGGGGCGGTGACCTAGAGGCAGAGCTCTCGCCTCACCATCAGGAGGCTGTGAGTTCGATCCTAGGTAGTGGCAGATTTTTCTCTCTCTCTCTGGGCACGATGAGAATATTATCTGCCGAACAAAACTCCGCATTGGCGACTAGGAAAGGCATCCGGCCACTTCAAACACTCTGCTAGCTCCATTCAAGTTACCCAGACTCCACCCCGCAAGGGATTGTGAGGGGGGGGTCGTTAAATGAAGATTGAAAGCAGGGCTTCTCCAACCTTGGCAACTTTTAAGACTTGCGGATTTCAACTCCTAGATGGCTAAGGAATCCTGGGAGTTGAAGTCCGCAAAGTGTTAAAGTCGCCAAGGTTGGAGACTCCCTGCTGTCAAGCACCCCCTGGTGGTCATACGTGGTTCTGCTGCCCCCTGTGGTCATGGGACTCCACGTTGCGCAGGTCGGCTATACAATGTTCTGCAGTCACATGACCACTATCTGCAAAGTTTTCGCCCGTTTCCAGTAGAAAAACACACGTTGAAATGAATGGGCTGCTGAATGACCACACGGCGTTCACTTAACGGCTACTGTGAAAAAAATCCAGAAATTCACTTGCTGTCATGTGATTATATTGAGCTTGATTGCGGCCATAAACTGAGGATTATTTTTATCTATCCTTTCAATTTCTATAGTTACCCCTTGGTACCTGAAAAAACTGAAAAATATTGAAAGAAACAGTAAGAATAAAGAATGAAAAGGAACACGAACTGATTGGGTTTTTTTTTTAATGACCCCATAATCCCTTGAGGGGCGGAGTCCAGGCAACTGAACGGAGCTGAGTATTTACTGGCCGGATGCTCTTCCTGTCACCAATGTGGAGTCATAAATCAGCAGATATAATCTCAACGTGTCCAGAGAGAGAAATACCTGTCTCTACCTAGGCTCGAACTCACAGCCTCCTGATTGCGAGGTGAGAGCTCCCCCTCTAGGCCGCCGCACCACTCTGATCCCATGATCCACTTAAAATTTAATCTTTATCTGCATTTCCGTCCACCGCCCCTTCCAAAATACACCTGCATCTGTTTTCTTGGCTTCTTGGGTGTATTTCATTTTATTTATTTCATTTGATTTTATTTTTTGCCGCTGCGGGACATTTATTCGATCGTAAGCCATTTATTTTATTATTTTTGCAGGGCTCTGAACACACACACACACACACACACACACACACAAAAGACACAGAGTATGTAGGCAGGTGAAAAATAAAACAGCATCCTTGCAAACAACAGATACGCTTGTGCTATTTGCACCCCAGCAAAACACAAGCTACAATTCTGTAGGGAAAGGACAAAAAACAAAAAGAGAGAGAGAGAGAGAGCCAAAAAGGACACTATCGGTTACAAATTTGACTTCAGGAACCAAAAACTCACATCGGATTCCCTTCTCCTCTGCAGTGCAGCACCAAATTGTCGCCTTCTTGTGGGTGTTCCGGTTTGGGCTCAATTTTTGCCGTTGGTTTGTCTGAGGAGAAGACGACCAAAGGAGAAAAATAGAGGAAAAGCAGTTAAACAGAATTGCCAACTTTTTTACAGGTTGGATCCTCGACTTACAGCCACCATTGACACCCCGCCCCAAATTTCTGTTGTTAAGTGAGACATTTGTTAAGGGAGGTTTGCCTCATTTTATGACCTTGTTTTAAGTGAATCACCGCAGTCAATGAGTTAGTAAACTGGTTGTGAAGTGAACCTGGCTGCCCCGTGGACTTCGCTTATCCGAAGGTTGCAAAAGGGACAGAGCAACGGTCATAAGTATGAGCCAGTTGCCAAGCACCTGAAGTTTGAATCACATGACCATGGAGATGCATCAAAGGTCGTAACTGTGAAAAACGGTCCTAAAAGTCACTTTTTTGGAGGGTGCCGTTGCAACTTTGAACGGTCACTAAATGAACTATTGTAAGTCGAGGACTACCTGTGTTCTGGTTCACTATAATTCTTTACACCAGAATCCAGAGATGCATCACTCTGTTTTGTCCTAGCATCTGCCTCAGAGCCTTCCTTGGGATTCCACATGCTTCCTGTTCTTTCTCTCTTGAATTTTTTAAATATATATATATTTAATTTTTAAAAAATTAAACCTGCAATGGCAGGCTGACACTTTGCTACAAAGCAAAGCGACCCGATTCTCTCGTCATTTTTATTTCAAAAAGGCCTTTTAGGAAATTTGTCAGGCCTGCCGCAGCTAGGTCCTTAGGAAAGAGAGACCCCTGACTCCATTTGGTTGAAGTGATAGGTTCTCTTACTCTTAAGGATTATGTCAACTCATAAAATATTTCTAGGGTCTTGTTAGAGTTGCCAACGAAAAGGGAGGCGGGGAGCAGTGCAGCAGCTTGCAAACCGAAAGTGCATTCCATCAATGTTTTCAAAGACAGTAACTAGGTGACTGAAGTTTCTGCCGCGCAAAATTCTAACTGGAGAGCATGACTCTTGGCTATGGAGGTGTCCCATTGGAGAATATGAATTATAATACACCCAGGGGGTAGGGGGAAAAAATAGGGTCAAGGGTGACAATGAATGACGTGTCTCAGAGTTGGCTGCACCCAGGCAGTGCCAGACATGTTAACTCCCAATAAATCCTTTTTGAAGTTTTGGAAGTTTGGCTCGAGACTCATGATTTAATTGGGGGGAACTGCCGGAATCCTGACAGATTACCGGTTGCAGCAGAAGCGAGGCAAGACCTGAGCTTTCCATACAAAGCATCACAAGTTTCCCCCTTCTTACACACACACACACACACACACACACACCGGTACCCTTTCCTCATCTCTACCCTCAACATGTCAATTGCCTCCTTCCTCTCCCCCCTCCTCCCTCCTCCCTTTCAGGATGCCAGTAATTAAAAATGGGGCGGGAGGAACTCTGGGAGTCGAAGTCCACCTTCATCTGTAAGTGACCAAGATTGAACTGTCATAATTCTGCAAGGTTTTCGAAATAAGTCACATACAAAAGACAGAGAGACGCTGCAAAGCGGATTTCCCAGAGATCTGCATAGAGGCGTGATCAACTGTGCACGTAACGTTTGCACCATCGTCCTCTTTGCTGACTGTAATTTCTACGTGGCTGCTGACTGTGAAGGTTTTTCCATTGGCATCTTTGGAGACGTCCGATGACTGGCCTGTTTGGGAGAGAGAGAGAGAGAGAGAAACAAACTGAGATTGGTGGCCTAGCAAAAGGAGAGAAGGGAGAGGGATGACTTACAAACACAGCCTTTAAGATTCCGGATCACAATATGCTTAGGGGATCGTTTTTGACCTAGAAAGTTCAACTCACGAGTCAAGAATCCCATCTAAATTATCCTGATTCCAACTTTGCACCTGTGTATTCCAGAGAAGCCTACTTGAGGGGCTGCCACAAGGAAGAGGGGGCTCAAATTATTCTCCAAAGCACCAGAGAGCAAGACAAGAAACAATGATGGAATCTAGTCAAGGAGAGATTCAACCTAGAACTAAGGAGAAATTTCCTAACAATGAGAAGAAGTAACCAGTGGAACAACTTGCCACCAGAAATCGTGGGCACTCCATCACTGGAGGCTTTTAAGAAGAGACTGGAGAGCCGCTTATCTGAAATATTATAGGCTCTCCTGCTTGAGCAAGGGGCTGGACTAGAAGACCTCCAAGGTCCCTTCCAGCTCATTCATTCTATAAATAAATTTCAAGGTTACAGTCTAGAAAGACACAGCATTAAAGGAAAGGCGGAGAGAGAGGGGGAAGGAAAAAGGAAGGCAGAGGGAAAAGGCGACAGAGACAACTCCGTTTTGAAATTCTGTGTTTGTGTGTATGCTTTGTTAGAAGAATGCAAGGGTCTTACGTGAATATGAATAAAAATTAAGTAATGGCAGGAAACTTCAGCCCGGCAGAGTAACCTGTAAGTTACCACATCACAAAATTACGTGGTTGTATACTGGCGTGTAATTTGCTTCTACCTTAGAGGTAATTCGGTTAAAGAGCTCTTGGCCACAAGTCACTGTAGGTTAAGGGTCACAAGTTTAATAGGCTTTAAAGAAAGGTGGCGCTAAACCAGAAAGGAAAACTGGCATCTGTGCCTCCATGTTCCCAGTGCAGTCTATCTGCAAATTGTTGTTGTTCTTATTTGCGAAGTCGTGTCTGACCCATTGCAACCCCATGGACAACGTTCCTCCAGGCCTTCCTGTCCTCTACCATCTTCTGGAGTCCATTGAAGCTCACGCCGACTGCTTCAGGGACTCCATCCAGCCACCTCCTTCTCTGTCATCCCCTTCTTCTTCTTCTGTTGCCCTCCATCGTTCCCAGCATTCGGCTCTTCTCCAGCGAGTCCTTCCTTCTCATGAGGTGGCCAAAGTCTTTGAGTTTCCTCTCCAGGATCCGGTCTTCTAAAGAGCAGTCAGGGTGGATCTCCTCTAGGACTGGCCGGTTGGATGGCCTTGCAGTCCAAGGGACTCGCTGGAGTCTCCTCCATCCCCAGGGTTCAAAGGCCTCCATTCTCTGGCGCTCAGCCTTCCTTATGGTCCAACTTTCCCAGCCATACATTGCCACTGGGGGAACCACAGCCTTGACTCTACGCCCCTTCGTTGGCAGGGGGATTTGTCTCTGCTTTTGAGGAGGCTGTCTGGATTTGCCATAGCTTTCCTTCCCTAGGAGCAAGCATCTTTTAATTCCTTGCCTACAGTCCCCATCTGCAGTGGAGCCCAGGAAAATAAAATCTGTCACTACCTCCATTTCTTCCTCATCTATTGGCCAGGAATGGAGAGGGACGGATGCCACGATCTTAGTTTTTTTTTTTAATGTTGAGTTTCAAGCCAACTTTTGCACGCTTCTTCTTCACCTGCATCAAGAGGCTCTTTAAGTGCACTCTATCTGTGAATACTGAATGGTAAAGGTATCGCTCTCCATTCTATGAATATTTCATAAGCAGACGGGAAACAAACTAGGTGGCCCAAACTAACATCCTTCTTAGCTTCTTAAAACAGTATGCTGGCAACTTACCTGTCAAGTGTTTGTCACCCTTTTTCCATCTGAGATAAGCTGCTGGCTTACTGCCAGAAGAGACACATGTCAACGCAGCCACGTCTCCTTCCCTAAGAGGGCCTGAGTAACCAGAGATTTGGGGTTTCTGTGGGATTCCTGAAAGAAAAGAGGACAATGAGGACTAGCGACTTAAAAGGATCCCGGAGAAGATGCACTTGGGAGCATTTGTTCCCAGAAAGGATAACATGCCTCTAAAATTTGGAGCGAAATTATAGCCCTGCGCTATAATGATTAAAGATGTCACAATTGTTGCTTCTTCTTTGACAAGAATTGTGTGTCATGCCCCTGTCAGAATCTAATTCAGAGGGGGAGGCTGAGCAGCTGACAGGGAGTAGGAGTATGGCTCCATTGGCTGTGGAAGAAACTGGAGAAGGGCAAAGTCCGACTGGGCAGAGCAGGGGGGAGGTAGAACAAGGGAGAGGGTATTCAGAGGAAGACCCAGGCCCACCCGCTCTTCATCGTAGGGCACGCAGGGAGGAATGGGGGAGGGAGCAATGTGAGTTGCATGGCTTATGGGGGAGGAAAGGGCCCTGATTCCCTTCATTAGCTGCAGCTGGGAACACAGTGTTTAAAAAGGGAAGTTGCGCACAGGAAACTGTTGGAAACAAATTGTGAATTATCTAGTATCATTGAGGCTTATCTGGGTTCCTGGCATCTTCCCAACTGTATGTGTTTTGCTGGCCTTTCAAGCCTGCAATTCCTTCTCCTGCCCTGTCAAGTTAATTGCTGCAGCTTGGTTTGTTTGGATTTTTATTTACAGTTTATATGTACTTCGTTTTTGGACTGAATTTCCTCCACTTAAAGGCTGTTCCTGGGAGAGTTTTTCTCTAGCCGAAGGTAACCTGGACAGTGGGGGCAAAGTTGGAGATAATTAAAGGGACTCTTCTTGCTTATTTGACTGTGTTGCCTTTGTGCCACACCCCTTTGGGTCATCACATTGTGTGTTTGGGATGTACAAAACAGTTGTTCCATTCCTGAAATATTTCATTTTCCCCTGGGCATTTGCAACTCGTATGCCCATGTCCAGAAGCAGACAGGTAGTTTTCGACTGATACAATCATTCATTTAGTGACTGGAGTTACAATGACACTGAAGAAAGGGGGCTGTTGTGACCCGTTTTCACACTTAGCGACCATCGCAGCATCCCCGGGGGGTCACATGATTAAAATTCAGACACTCGGCAACTGGCTTGTACTTATGACGGTTACAGCATCCCGGGGAAATCACGCGAACTTCCGTTTTGCGACCTTCCAACAAGCAAAGACAACGGGGGGGGGGAGCCGGATTAACTTAACGACCATGTTGCTAACTGAACAGCTGCATGATTCGCTTAGCCGCCGTGGCGAGAAAGGCCGTATGGCGAGGCGAAGCTCACTCCGCAACTGTACTCACTTAGCAACAGAAAATTTGCTTGTGGTTGCGAGTCGAGGATTGCCTGCCTTTCCAAGGCAGATGGAAATTCCGGGTTCGGTTGTGGTTGGGAGTCGAAGGCGGGAGGCGACCGGGGTGTTCCAGACGGAGCCCGCCTGACCCTCAACCTCTTGGGAAGACTGAAGTATCCTGGGAACAGCCCCTCCCATTTGGGACACTGCTCGCCACTGACCCCTTTGCCTCACCCAAGACGGTGACCATGGCTTTCGCAGTCCGTACGGGCCGGGTGAATATCGTGCAGGTATATTCTCCCTCATCAGCCAGAGTGGTGTTGTCGATGCTTATGCTCAGCTCGTTGGCCGTCGAGTTCTCCAGCTGGATTCGAAGGTCTCGCAACGCTAGGAGGAGGAAGGGAGGCGAGTTAGAGAAGGGCCAGAGAGGGTCGCCTTAGGTGTATCTCTCTCTCTCTCTCTCTCTCTTTCTCTCTCTCTCTGTCTCTCGGTCTAATTC